AACAGTTCAGTTTCTGGTCTCGATCAAACATGTCGCAGTTGGTTGAAATGTACGAAATGGTTTTTACTTCACGGCAAGGACTGAAAATGACGCGTACGTGCAACCGACTGAGCGCCGCGAGTGACGGGTCCACAGCGTCCAGCCTGACCCACGTCCGTATAGGTGATACACACCTTTGATGATCGGACAAAAACCGACACGAAATGGGACGGGCTGTATCATAACGGCGTATCGAGATCCCGTATCATGATACGTATATCATTACCCGTCCACATATGCGATCATGATACGCGTCAATGATACGGATACGGTGATCGGATCGGGCAAATGATACATGTCCGCTCATGATTATGAACACCGATGTGACTTGAAATTAGTCAGACATCTTCGAATAGTTTACGTAACTAAAACATTATTTAAGTTTCACGATAGTTCTTATATAAAAATACCTTTGTTCCGCTGATTAATCATTTTATTGAACTCTTCTATATTATTTTCTGCAGTTGTTCTTGCTGTCACAATTCTTTGCAACAAGTGAGATGCAAATGATCGCATATTTTCACCCCATATCGGTTGATATTCGAAATTAGCTGATAGATTGAATTCTGATAAAGATTGTTTGGCTATTGTCACCCACTTGTGTAACGAAATACCATTGTAATTGTAACTGTAAAAAATTAATAAAAAGTATTATTTTGTTAAATGATCCCTGAACAAGTCATAATAATAGCATGAACAGATAACATCATTGTTATTTTTATAATACGTTTTATTCATGTTAAACTGACAACTCTGTGGTTTGAGGCCTCCATGGATGATAAATCGTGAATTGCATAGGCATAAGTTTATTATTAATGTCACTGTACAATGTAACATCCACTTTTCACTATTTATGTTATGAGTCCCATGTAATAGGGGGTGAGCCTCTTGCCATATACCGGACACATTTCCAGACTCCGTGCTACTACTGAGATTTTAAAAATCCAGTAATACTTTGCCCGACCCGGGAATCGATCCCGAGACCCCTTGCCCGGCAGTCGCACTTGCGACCATCTGGCCCACGAGGCAGTTGGAGCAAAAATTGTTACCTTTGTTCCATTCCAGAATTATTGTAACTTGTATCTGGACTTAGACTCAAACCAGTGCCACTGTCAGTAATGGCTTTTTCTAAATTCCATAGAATTGGGCAGAGGTGTTGCTGTGTGAAGACCTGTTGAAGAATTAACAATATTTAGTATAAGGCATAGTTGGCTCGGTAGCTGGGCGATCGAGCTGGCTGCTGGGCCACTGCAGTGTCATGAGTGCAATTTACATTTTTGAATTAGTCGCAAATTATTATTCCAGATAGGGGCACTAGGAGTGATGCGCATACACGTAACACACGAACAAACTCTAGTATGAAGTAACGTTTTAAAGGTGAAAGCTTACCTTTCCCAATCTGAACAGCATAATGGCATTCTTGTAAGCACTGAGGTCCAGCCTCATAAACCGTGGCAGTATAAGTTGGAAGATACAAGTGTACGACGGAAAATTTTCAGCTATAAATTGAGTAAAACTCAAATCCAATTTATTTGCTTTTTTATCTTCTGCATTATTGTTGTGGTGGGAAAATCTAGAAAAAATTATGTATATTGAAAATAGAAATAATAAAATGCCATACATCTTAAAATAAAAATAGAAATAATAAAATGCCATACATCTTAACTTATACTTTATTATACAAAGCTGAAGCTTTTCTTTGTTTGAATCCACTAATTTTAGGTACTACTGGTATTTGAAAAGTTCTTATTGTGTTGGATAGCTCATTTGTCGAGAATGGCTATGTATAGATAGGCCATAAAACAACACGCTATAATCAATAGGCGCCGAGCAGACCGAGTGTAACCGAAACGGAAGTAGCTAGTAAGTAATATAATAATATTACCTGTCCTCAGAAATATTGTTGTTGACATATCGCCATGGCTGAATAAGACTTAGCCACAATTCCATGACGAGTCTGAACGACGCATCGAGCGGCCATGTCGTGACTAAATGCTTTATGTAATGGTATGCTCGAACACACATTAGTTGACGAGCATATTTCCTAAGTGCTGATGATCTGACTGCTGGATCAGACATGTGTTTTGCCGAGAAGGCGTGTAAATGCTTGACTAGAACACGTACAGTTCTCACGCGCTCTGGACTAGAAGATATTGTCGTATAGTTTCTCTGAAACATCTGAATTGAATAAAAACAATTTACTAAATGGGATATTCTTAACTCGTCGAGTACCGGTTTTGTAGACACAATTATAGAACAATAGGTTGCTGTCACCGGTGACCGCTTGGTGTTTGACAGTTTAATTCATATGCAAGAAATATTATTTAAAATATTGTTATGTAGGGTTTGGTTATCACAGTTAATCTGTTATATTCAAATTGGAATAAACATTGGTTCAAGCACTTCTGCTCAGTCCATATAATTTGGTTTTCTACTCTACAAGTAGACAAATGCTAAATGGCATTTGGCTTTGTGCTGGTGAATTGGTGATGCAGTGACTAGTTCACTATCAAGTACAGTTCCCGCACGGAACAATTATTTTGTGATGCACAAATACTTTGTTTTGTGTCTGGCTATGATGTGCAAGTGAATTGTAAATGTATCAATGACTGACACAGGAGATAATGCAGTGTGTGGCAAAGTTTAAAAAGTTGATAATTGAACAGTGTCTGTCTTACTTCAACATTTCTAGCACTGAACTGTTCCACACTCATCCAAATGTCGATGAAGACTTGTAGCACTGTTTCAGAGCGCCAGACCTCATTCCTTGATTGATTCTGTGTTGTTGTATGTTGGTTGCTCATGCTGCCAGACAGATCAGGTATCAACAGCAGAGATGGAGAATACAAGGGTCTGAAATGTAGATTACATAAATATTATTGCACTGTTACATGGTTGGCAGTATTTCAGGGGTGAATATAGAGCAGTGTTGCAGACTCGATTCCCGAATGGAAGAATCTTTGTGTCCTTCGTTTTTACATATACCACGAGAAATTTGAGTTTGTAAAGGCATCAGAAAATCTTTTTCTCTGTGATATAAATACTGAACAGATAGATAAAAGCACTTACCTATTAGCAGTTTGCAATGGAGCAGCCATGGGTACTTTGCCTGTATAGTTCGGTATGTGTGGCAGTACAGATGTATTTGGGTCTGCAGGTAAGAAGTGCACAAGATAGTCACATGCCAGGGCAAAGTAAGCACTGCTCCAGTTCTCCCAAGAACTTGTCTGTTGGCTGTTACTAACAAGATGGAGTGCAAAATTGAAGATGTAATAATCAAATGGATCTGTTACTTTATAGGAAAATATTTGATTGAATTACAGAAAAAGGATTGCTTTAAACTTTAAAGACTGTTAGAATGAAATAAATATAACATTTTTAACAATATCAAGAATAAAAAGATTTTCTATCAAAGTATGTATATCCATAATTTGGCACTTTTCAAACTATAAATTGTACATATTACATGTAACTTGCAGGGAATTCATTACATAATATTTTTTTTATTGTTCCATTATTTCAGGCAACTTTGGCCCATATAAAATATAATACACAAATAAATAATATTACTTCAATTCATTCAGAATATAGCCATAAAGTCTACTTCTAGACTTTAGGGCTATATTGTATATAATTCTTTGACGCTGGCAAGGCAACTTCATAATTATAAAGAATAAATCGATTGCATTTGCAGAAGTACTAGTACTATTCATAAAATGAATATACTATTCAAATAATTAAAACAAAATGATTGTAATTTTAAAGGATACTGAGTGCCAAAGCCACAACATTGAGAGTTTGTGGGTCTGTAACAAGCATATCAGAGTAAAATTGTGGACATCTTCCCCTTTCCAAAGTCATCTGCAAATCCAGCTGTAAATTCAAAATTTCAATTATATTATGATAATCAAGAGTAATACATGATATTTTTGAATAAGATGTTAGATACAATAATTACAAGATATTTTAACCCAACTGTAAGAAGGTTTTTGATTCAAACACCTCATGAAATGGTTGTCGTTTACTAAGTATACTTACTGGTAGTACATTGAGTGGAACATTATATTTTAACTGTGGGTCAGATAAAAGTTTATAGCACAATCGGAACATTGGCCCCAATGGTTCAAAGAACGCCATCAAGGCCATAAATTCATGCTTTTTGCCATCATATGTAACTGTCCGTAGTCCCCAGCCATTATTGAAAGTATTTGAGAATATGTTACTGATTAACTGAGGGAACAATGTCTGGAGATCTTTGCTAGGAGTAGATTGGTCTATGATTCTAGTCAACTCGTCAACTTTCTCATGTAACGGCAGATTCAGACTTGTGTAAAATTGACTCTGAAAACAAAATAAACAAAGTTAACCAAAATACAATGATTGAAGGGAAAAAAATTAATTACATATTGCAATACATACCATAATATCGTGTGCCATTGCTGCAGTTGTTCCTGTACTTTTATTTTGTCAAAATAACTAATATTTTTTTCTGTTTTATGCTTTAATTTACTACAATTTAATTGTACACTAAGTCACGATATTCACAAATTAGTTTTCCATTTAATCACACATTATTATCTTAAACAGTGGAAAGCGTGGCAAATAAACTGAAATAAATTTAACGTTTTAGTAGGATAAAACGACTGTAAAAATAAGGAGACCGGTAAACTTGTGAATTGCAACAGCTAACCGAGTAACCACCAAAAACGATGACAATTTGATACTTCACCTACGATCAGACCGTGACAGTGACAACTTTGAAGGAGAATAAAATGTGACGCGTTCAAGAGAGAGAGAGAGATCTAAAGATTTTAGTTTTTATTATAACTTGAATTATACAGATAAAAATTATACAGATCTTAACGCCATTGTGCGAGCTAGACTCAAGACTGCTACATAGTAGGACGGACAGTGTATGGGCAGTTTTATTGTTTTCTATTTTGGCGAATTGTCACAATTGTCATTGTCATCTGTCTTCGTGACATTTGATAAACAGGCACATTTTCACGTGTATTTTTAATTTATTGTGTTAAATCAGATTTTTTCATCTAAAGCCCTAGGCTTTAGATTTCCATCTGGATTAAGAGTTTCGTGTAAGAAAGCATACGAATTCATATTCTAATACTGACAATAACAGTTGCTATTTATGTTATAATTCAATTGGATACGTTATCAATTTGAATGATAGGTAGTAAGTAAAGTTGAAAATAAGAGCTGAGATAAATCAATTATATTCTAAAGAAAGATGACTTACGACTGGTTTGAGTCTATAGGCAGGCCACGGTTTGTGGTTGCTCCTATGGTTGATGCCAGTGAGTTAGCTTGGCGCCTTTTATGCCGGCGACACGGAGCAACATTATGTTACACGCCTATGTTTCACAGTAATGTGTTTAATAAAGATCCTAAGTATAGAAAAGATAACATGGTTACGTGTGAGGAAGATCGTCCCCTGATTGTACAGGTAACTATTTAAAAAAGTTTGACTCGACAACAAACATCTTATTGGATTGGATTGATAAGTAGCTAATGTAATAAATAGTAACCTACTTATATAAATGCTTACTATGCCTATGAATACAAGTTCATGCTGTTTATACACAGTTTATACTTAACAGTTTGCATTACTATTTTTCAGTTCTGTGGAAATAACCCCGAAATAATGGCATCGGCTGCGAAACTTGTTGAGGGCCAATGTGATGCCATTGACATAAATCTTGGCTGTCCACAATCCATAGCCAAAAGAGGCAGATATGGATCCTTCCTCCAAGATGACTGGGAGCTATTGAAGAAACTTGGTAAAGATTTTTATATTATTAAATAGGTATGCTCTTGATAAGAAATTATATGTAGTTATTGATCAAATTATCTAATGAATATCTTGTTTTAGTGCAAACAATGTCTGAAGCAGTTTCAGTGCCAATAACATGCAAAGTAAGGATTTTTGAGAGCATAGAGAAATCAGTGGAGTATGCTCTTATGTTACAAAATGCTGGATGTAAAATGCTCACTGTTCATGGCAGAACTAGGGAACAAAAGGGACCATTGACTGGAATCGCTAGTTGGGAACATATAAAAGCAGTAAGGTAATATTTTTATAACAGAAATATTTAATCTGTTAATTTGGCCTATTCTCTATATCACATGAGTTTCTCTTAATATGTCTCAGTGTCACTATCAAAGCCGTGTCTTATCTTTGATAACATATCATAATACCTAAATTGTTTTTGATATAGTAATGTAATTTTGTGAAAACAATACCATGCCATACTTATGATGTACTGTATTGATTGAAGAAACTGATCAGATTTTTATCTCTAGGGAAGCAATATCGATACCCATGCTAGCTAATGGGAACATTCAGTGTTTGCAAGATGTCTACAGATGTTTGGAATATACTAAAGTGGATGGAATTATGAGTGCAGAAGGAAACCTAACAAATCCAGCCATATTTGAAGGAATAAATCCTGTATCATGGGAGATAGCTAATGAGTATTTAGACTTAGTAGAACAGTATCCTTGTCCAACATCTTATATAAGAGGTCATTTATTTAAAATATTTCATAAAATGTAAGTAAATCATTGATTTAAGTGTCTATAATTATAGCCAAGTTATTTTTAAACATAATTATAAAATAGAATATTTATATGAAATATTTTTAGATTTTCACTGGAAGAAAACAATGAAGATAGACAAATTCTGGCCACAGCGCAAAACTTAGATGACTTCAAGCGAGTGTGTATCAATGTTAGAGACAAGTACTTGCCTTATCATGAAGGTAAAATTAATATTGAGAATGATGAGAACATAACTAGGATTGGATTCAATTTAATACTACCTCCATGGATATGCCAGCCATATGTAAGAATGTCACCTGAAGAACACACACGAAAAATGGAAAAATTAAATATAATTCAGGTATTAACAAAGAAATAAATAAACATACTTTACTGATGTATCACTTAGTAACCTTTAATGAATTATATTAGGTGTTGTTTGTAGGAAAATGCTGCTGAAAAGAGGAAATGTGAAGACACTGATGGCACAATCCTATCTAGGAAGAAACTGAAAAAGTTGAAGAGAATAAGTAGAAGACCAGAAAAGCCAGATTCTCAGCAGAATAGCAGAAGTGGTCAAATCTGCTTTAGTGAAAATTGCCCCAATCCTCTTGTTAGTATTACCTTATTAATCGTTTTTAACTTGCTTATCAATTTTTGAACTAGTAATATTTAAAATGATTCCTTTTTCAGGGTGGAAAATGTTTATATCAACTGTGCAAAAAGTGTTGCAGGAATAAATGCTATGAACAAGAGTTAGACTGTAAAGGACATGGAATATTGGTTCATACTCGACGCGAAATGGCTAGGAAGTTTGCAAATGTTCAGGCTAACACAGAAACTGATACCACATAATTTACCCAAGACATTGGCGTCAATCTAGGGGAATTACTTAATAATGTAACTATGTGTAAATATTCTACCTACATGTTTTAAGAGAAAATGTTAAATACATTTGTTGGAATTGTAACTGGCTTACTCTTTTTATCTGTACATACCAAGCAACAGGATCATACTTGCAAAAAGCCCTCTTACAAAACATATAGTTAGGAAGGTTTCATATTTTCTTTTTTTTTAGTGTAGGTAGGTCAATCGTTTCCATGGTAACAAGCTGTATACAGTGTATAAACTCTTAAAATTACGTAAATAAATGTAGAATGTACACAAAATAACTGATGTTAATTAGTTAAAGTATCCACCCAGTTGGAGGTGATGTCATCCTAGGAATTATAAAAAGTTAATTAATTAAGTGAAATCGAACAGATGCGCGCGCATTATATGGGCTTGACCAACAATCAAGTAACAACACAAGGTTAAAACTGAGCTTTCTGTATTGTACCTTTGGTTTTAAAAATGGTCACAATCACAAAGTTGTTTTGACAGAAAAGTGCCTTAGGACTGTATGAAATGGATATTGAATATAACAATATAACTTATTGGAATAAATGATAATTATCAACATCTACCGATGGACAATTGCTGTTCCTCCCATCAATCACCAAGACCTCAAAGAAGAATTAATGGATTTCAATTGCCCCTGAACTTCCAACAAGTCACAAGCTGGGTCGTGTTTATTGCGACTGGCGCGTTAAATTTTCTTATATTGATAGACATACAATTCAACGAACTGAGGACGATATCGTTGGTGATATTCACTGTACTCTATATCTCTCACGTTTCATCGAATCTAACGGCCTCGTTATTAGATCCGAGCGAAAAAGAATTGAGAAAATTGGCTGTTTACAATGTTCCTGAGTTTGATCGAGCAGTTCACGCCCACGTTATTGAAAATGGAAGATGCCATCTGTGCAACATACACACAAGCAGCAGAAGGACCAAACATTGCAGTATTTGCAATAAATGCGTGGACAACTTCGATCACCACTGCAAGTGGCTTAACAACTGCGTTGGCCGAAGGAACTATCTGGCGTTTGTTGCCTGCGTTATTACGGCTCTCATGATATCTACATTAACAACATCATTATGTGTAGCAGACATTGTGATATTTTTTACAAATCCCAAATATTTTAGCATCGAAGCACAAAACTTTATTAATTGTAGTACTTCATACAGTAGCACGATCGTGATCCCAGGGTTTTGTAGGACTTCTATATCTTTCCTTATATTTTTGATTTTATTTTGTGTAATGGCGTTAGCCATCGGGTGTGCCTTATTACATTTGTGCTGTTTCCACATTTATATATCGTTGCTAGGAGTTACAACTTATGAATATGTGGTGAGGAGTGGAGACTCGATGACTCCTTCATGCAATTGTTTAAAGGATTGTAAGTGTTATAGGTGGAATATATCTAAAGACTTGTATACCATAAGACAACCGAAACGCCAGGGGCACGGTCGAACTAATGATAACACTGATGATGGTACTGTGGCAAATAAATTAGAAGTTTCTCGTACCGCAGATATACATAATGGGGAAGCACACGTTATAAACTTTATTAGTATACTAATTAATAATGAATTAGATAAAGCAAGGAAAATGTTTCTATATGATAAGAACAAAATACACCCTCACGAAGCAAGTAGTAGCAGATAGCACACTTCTATTTCTATTTTAGTAATTTTTAGATGCACTCTCCTTCAGTGTCGTTCCGTTATTTAGTGAAGGTAGTTTTATGATAAGCACAAATGCTTTCACTGTTTTGTTATTATTGTAGGTAGTTTCTAGACACATGAACCAGAAAGGACCGAAAATCATTTGCACCATAAAGGCTATAAAAAAAAAACAATATGAGAATGACGATCGATGAAATAACACTACTCAATGTTTTTTGCACTGGTCTATAACAATTAATCTTTTTACGTCGTATTTAGCTCCCTACTATCTAATTACATTAGGTACATGTTTCTCCATTTACGTTAACAATAAGAATAATCTTGGAATTTATAGCAATTGCCTATTGTGCCTATGCGTAAGAGACACGATTGTGTCAGTATTTGTATTGAAAATGCGGCGTTTTTATAATATGTATAAACCAGGCATTTCTGATTACCTATTTTTATTGTTATTAAATTCTTATTACAAGTTTCAGTTTTATTTACACAGCCACATAATGAAATAGATCTCAATAAATATTGAAATTATTTACCTAATGACGTATGACGTAAATGGTGCCCGCTGTGGGGAAGGGGGGGGGGACAGGACGTATGCTGATTAGTTCCAACTATGTAAATAAAACAATTATATTCATACAGTTCCAATTTATTTTAATCCTTTAATAAACTTGTAAATTTCTTAAATATCATATAGTTAACAACTCATAAATAAAATAATATTTGAAGGATCCTTCCCAAAATGATGAGCAGATGGTCCTTGCCTTCGCGAAACTTAACTTGCTAGTTGCATCAGCTCGATGGTGACTCATTTGAGCAACTTACACATATGTGTGTAGGTATGTCAATGTATTGTAACATTGGTTAAGTCTTGCGTAAATAAGGATTTTGTGAAATCGCTATATTTATTCACGTTTGCGGCGGCGATTCTGTTCTTCCTGAAAAACGATTTTCAAGGTTATGAGTTTAAGTTAATGTTTAAATAAAAAATTCGTTGATTTAGTGTAGAACATTATATGACACCAATTGTTAATTTTTTAGTGAAGCAGGAAGAGTTATGATGTGATGTATACTCAAAATATATTCTGACAAATTCAAAACTTTAAAGTGTTTGTGAAGAATCCTTTGAATAGTAAGCTTGACCTATGGGTCATTCTTTGATCATAAATCTTAACAAATAACATTTTTGTAAGTCAACCTGCAAATATCATTAGAAGAGAGTCATACAAACCTTCTGTGACAGAATAATGAGCAGTCTTCTGAACATTCCAATGAAATCAATGAACAGTTCCAGGGCATGTTGCACAAAGTCCTTGCTGCCCATTCTGCGCTTCTCAATGATGAGTTGAGTGTCAAACAGCACAAAGCCACACATCAGCATCAATCCAAGGTAAAGGTGAGCCTGGAAAATAGGTGAAAGAAATCAATGAATAACATTTCATCATACAGACATATACTAAAATATAGACATAGGTAGTTATACCATATACTAAAATATAGACCTAGGTATATAAAAGTGTATAGATAAGTTATTATCTATACACTTTTTAAGGTAAAGGCCCCATGTAACAGGTTGCAAGTATATTGTTGTCATGAACTAGAAGCTTCTAGACTACATGATATTGCTGAGAATTTGAAAATTGTAAAATAATATCTACTAAAATCGAACCTCTTGGTCAATAACATGACGTTGAAGAGTTGACCTACAAAGCAGTTTGTATGGTTTGTAATTTGACTATAGATTTTAATGAGTTAGGCTTCAAGTAGCCAATATTCACTACACAAATAGGCCTTGACCTCTAGTTTAACATTAAAACAATATTCATGATGATTTAAACGAAAAGAAAACCTGTACTTTGAACAGTGACTTGTGTTTGTTTCAAGGACATATTTATTTATTAATGAGTTTTAGAATTGTATTGAAATTGAAATGTATGTATGTTTTTATAATAACAATAGACTTATCTAGAAGCAGTCTTAGTTAATGTTCTTTCAGAATGTTCAGGAACAATTCTTTTTTTGTATACTTACTTGATACAAGAAGTGAGATTGCATGAAGATATTGACCAAGGTCATAAGAGACATAGACGTAAGGAGAGTCATAAGTGTTCCTCCAAGGAACAGCCAGCTGCCACGGTCAGCCAGCATTGCAGCAATAGAGAAGCAGACAAACACCAATGTACTACCCATAAGTGCTGTTACTATAATCGATGGGTCAACGAAGCTCACATACTCCAGGAGTGGTCCCAAACTCATTCCTGAAAAGGGCATAATGTTTTATTTATTTATCCTCAAATTATTCATAACAATACTGAGTCATTTTACTTGTGTAGCAAGTCATGTAGGAAAATCAATATCCATTAACATAATAATTGAAACTACTTTTACCTGAAGTAAGTCCGAAACCCAAGAGGTATCCAAGACGCAAGTTTGTGTTCTTTCCATTATCAGGTGTTGCAATCAACATAAGCATAAGACCAGCCCCAACAATGGCAGACAGGATACCAGCTTGGAACCAGGTGTACATATCAACAAACACTCCACCCAAAGCTGCACCACAAGTCATCATCAAGGTTCCATAGACATTTTTTAAATGCTGGCGGACTGGCGGTTCCCTGTAATACATCAGGACACAGGTCAATTGTGTGGCTGCACTAAATTGTAAACATCCTTCATACAATGAACAGTCATTACATCATTTTTAACATCAAGAAGCGCGAAGTTTTAGTACATTGTCATCATTACTAAAATACATGAGATATTGTTATTACAATTAATGATTATAATCTTGTTATTGTAACACAGTATCGTATACGAAAACAAATATTTGTATGTGTGTCACAGAACGTACCTTGAACGACAATGTTCTAGAATGATACAGTCATTAATTAAAATTAACTTCGTTAAAATAATATGTCTTATTGGGTGTAATCATTGAATACAGGCATAAAAAACATATTTTCAAGCGGATTAGAGAAAATTTTAATACTTACAGTCGATTTTGAAAACTGTTGACGAATGTTTGAAGATTGGGAGTCATGATGATAGGAGCAGTTAATCCAATATCAAAATAATCTTTTGAAGTAAAATCACAGAAAACTTCTGAAGAAACCTTAGTATTTGGTGAATTGCACGATGCTAGAAAAGTACTGATTATTTTTAGAATGCGCACAAACCACGAACTCTTCGATATGAAACAATGGTGATTTTGATGAAATTCCAATTGCCATTAACAAAAATTAAGAGTCGAATGACGTCACAGTCACACGTAAATACAATAAAAACGTCGGCTATTCTTGATTACCAAATGTTCCAAATAAATATCATTCCAGATGTAATTTTCCGATTAATTTGAATAAGTTATTTACTTTTTAAAGTAAAAAGAGTAGTCAACAATTTAGGAAACTTTAATTGAATAATTAAAATTCTGAAGAATTATTGAGGACCAATCAAAAGAACCCACGATATTTTCTTAAATACTGGCAAGTCTGCCTTTTTCGTTGACTTTGACATCTGTAACTTTGACGTTGCTTAAAATGAGTTGACGTTGACATTAAAATAACCTCAATCAAACTGCTGAAGAAGCAGTAAACACGTTGTAATTGTATTATTTATATTAATGTGATAAAAACAGAAAAATGGGGAAGAAGACCAAAGTAGGAAAACAGCGGAAAGATAAATACTATCAACTCGCAAAGGAAACTGGTAATGTTTCAAAAGAAAATAATGATGTTTTGGTCACGTTGTAATTATTAGCAATAATAACTTTTTACATGTGTGATTTTAGGTTATCGTTCCCGAGCTGCTTTCAAATTAATACAGTTAAATCGAAAGTTTGGATTTTTGCAAAAGTCACGAGTATGCATCGATTTATGTGCTGCCCCTGGTGGGTGGATGCAGGTGGCGCATCAAAACATGCCAGTATCCAGTGTGGTCATAGGAGTCGATTTGTTTCCTATCAAACCGGTTCCTGGTTGCATCGGCCTCACTGAAGATATTACCACAGAAAAATGTAAATCGGCTATAAAGAAAGAAATTAAGACATGGAAAGCTGATGTTGTTCTACACGATGGAGCTCCTAATGTTGGTCTAAATTGGATCCATGATGCATACCAACAAGCTTGTCTTACTCTTAGCGCCTTAAAATTAGCAACAAATTTCTTGAGGGATGGAGGATGGTTTGTTACTAAAGTTTTCAGATCAAAAGACTACCATGCACTTTTGTGGGTGCTGAAACAGTTCTTTAAAAAAGTTCATGCCACAAAGCCTCAGGCTTCTCGTAATGAATCATCTGAAATCTTTGTGGTCTGTCAGGGCTATATTGCACCAGACACTATTGATCCTAAATTTTTGGATCCCAAACATGTGTTTGAAGATTTGGACATAGTGAAGAAACAGCATATGAATATCTTACATCCGGAGAAGCAAAAGAAAGCTAAAGCTGAAGGTTACTTAGAAAATGATTATACTACTCATCATAAAGTAATGCTCTCACAGTTTTTGAATCCAGACCAGGACCCCATAGATTTACTGCAAGGATGCTCAGAGGTACATATTTTACTTTCTAATAAACGTCTTTTCATATTTAAATATTAACAAAACTTATATTAACTATGTTATTATATATAATATAAACTATGTTATTATAAATATGCTATGCTATTGTTTTACAGATTGTTTTTGATGATAAGTCAGTGGAAGAACATCCTAAAACAACTGCAGAGATAAAGGAATGCTGTAAAGATATTAAGGTACTTGGCAGAAAAGATCTGAAGGCACTCCTGAGCTGGTTTAAGCAAATGAAAGAATGGAAAGCCTCACAGGTAATTACATTATTTATTTTTTATGTTAAATGAGGTACACATAAAATTGTGTTATTCTGTCAAGATTGTTGCACCATATTATAGCATAATATATTTTTTAAATTGAATGTGACATGAAATGTTGTAAAGCTATTGCAAATTTGGATCAATGTTGGTCTTTTTTAAGAAAGAAATTCTTGAAAGGAATTTATTTTAAGAAATGAGTAAATTTTTTTTTTACTTTTGTCATTAGTGCAATTACAGCTACAAAAAAGAATATAACATTAACAACAACATAAAATGTTTAATTAATATGTTTGTATGTTAGTAATAAAGGCTTAGAAATAAATAATATTTTCTGTGTCAATATTCAGGTGGTCAAAACTGATGAGAAAGAAGGCAGTGATGATGAAACGAAGGTGGAAGAGATGGAGGACAATGAAGAAGATGGTGTTGATGCAGAGATTGCTGAACTACAGGTATTTATAAACTATACTTTTACATGAATCTTTGCTTTAGTTTTGATTTATTAAGTTATTAAAATATCAATTATAATTGACTATAGTGAATGACTTATACTTATGTGAATTGTTACAAATTCCTAAAAGTACAAAACATATAGGATTTTATATATTCACATCACATTACAACAAAATAAAAATAGTTCTAAATTTTTTGTGGACATTTTTTCCAAGAACATGGTATCAATAATTTATTATTACAATTTCAATTAATTACAGGATGAGGAAAGGCGCACATCAAAACGAAAAAGGAAACAGCTGAATAAACAAAGACAGAAGTTGGCTGAGAAAATGAATTTGAAAATGGTGCTCAAAGGTGATGGTGGACCTATCTTGGAGAGCAATGATATGTTCAGCTTATCAGACATCAAGAATGCAGATGTAAGTACCCTTAAAAAGAGAATTAATTATTATTATTATTAGTACCCTTAAAAATAGAAAAACATTCTAGACCAGTATTAGATAGAGGTGCTACATAATAAATGGAACACCCTGTTTTCATACTAGAATTTGCACAGTAGAATACCATCGTAAGGCCCTGTCTTGCACACACTGAACTGGTCCTATTTCACTGCAGACTTGGGACATGAACATATACCCATCAGTACTAATAATGTAACATGTTAATCTATACATGTCACTTGGTTTTAGCTGTGATATGAAGTTTTTTTATTCATTTCTATTTTTCACTAACTTCATTTACAGAAAAACCCAGTAGTGTTTTGTCTAATTTGAGGAACTGTCTTATTTAGTTAAGTCGATTCAGCATTGCCGCTTGTTATGAAACCTCCATGGGCAAGTAGTGATTTAGTGATACTAAATAATTAATGATTTCTCTATTATAGGAATTGGCCCGTATGATAGACCAACAGCCTGATATAGTAGCAGAGGCCAGCGATGATTCTGATGATGAAATCAAAGTAAAACAAAAGTATGTCAAGTATGATACAGAGTCTTCTAAATTGGATTCCTCTGGCCTTTACTATAAAGATTCCGACAGCGAACTTGAAATGGAGTCTGATTCTGATAATGAACAGGATAAGGAAACTTTGGGTAAGGATTTTTTTTTCATTTAGAAATAATTTAATAAATTAAAAACTATACTCCTTGTTATGAAATAACTTTGTAACAACATTTTTTAATATTGTATTTCAGCATTTTCCGATTCCGATACGGAAAATAAGAAGGTAGCAAAAATAACAAAACAGAATACTTTACTAAATAGTAAGGTGGCTAAAAGTCCGGCCGTACCCAAGAACCATCCTCTTTTGACTGACTTGGATGACACTGATCCAGTCTCCCGGCGCTCTATGAAAGCAGAGCTATGGTTCCAGAAAGATAGCTTTAAAGATATTGATGAGGATGACGATGAAGGCGTAGATTTGGATAAGTTAGCAGAAACATACAAAGAAAAAGGTAAAAAGGTTGCAGAAGATGGTCTGGTTGATGACAAGAGAGGTAGTTTGAAGAGAAAACTCGAAGATGAGAGTTCTGATGATGACTCGTCAGATAGTGACTATGATGTAGAAGACAATGTTGCTCCTGCAGCAGGAAAGGCTGGACCTGATACAAGTAAAAAAGACGGATTTGAAGTTGTATCACAAGACCCAGGTACGTTTCTCTTATAGCCACTAAGTACTCATGTAAATGTTTTATAGTCAAAAGTTTTCCTAGGTATGCACTTACACTCATAATACAATTTGGTTTAGTCTTTGTAAATTTACTACAATGCCTCATATAATGTCAATTTTGTATAAACTATCTAATGTAGTTTTACGTGTTTTATAGAGCTAAAACGACTAAAGAAAACTCTTAAAATGGATGCTGAGACACTGGCTTTAGGAACAATGATAGCGACGTCGAAAAAGTTCAAAAGAGATCTTATTGATGATGCATGGAACCGCTACGCCTTCAATGATACTAATTTACCCGACTGGTTTGTTGAAGATGAAAAGAAACACATGAAGAAAGCAGTCGTTGTACCAGAGGTAATTATATTTTATTTATACAAGCATGATAATTTATTGTATATTTATTGCCACAATTTTTATGGCCTATTCTATTTCTAAGTAATTTATGTAATGCATTATAATAAAACTTGCAGAAATATACGGAAGAATACAAGAATAGGTTGCAAGACATCAACGCCCGGCCGATTAAGAAAGTGGTAGAAGCTAAAGCACGTAAGAAGAAGCGTATGATAAAGAAGATGGAACGTGCGAAGAAGAAGGTGGAGGCGGTCATGGAAAACGCCGACATGTCGGAAAGAGAGAAGGCACAACAAATCAAGACATTGTATAAAAAGGCCCAGACAGACGGGAAGAAGAAGGTTACTTACGTAGTGGCTAAGAAACATACTACAGCCAAGCGGATGAAACGACCTCAAGGAGTTAAAGGACATTACAAGGTAGTCGACCCGCGTATGAAGAAAGACTTGCGCGCGCAAAAGTCAAAAGAGAAAACAAAAGGCCGCGGCAAAAAGGGTAAATCTGCTAAGAACAATAAAAGTACGCCGCCTAAAAAGAAAGGAAAGAAAGCTAAAGCTAAATAGTTGCTGAATGTTTATATAGGTACATTATTATAAATATATATCGATTGCCCTAATACATTTTATTTTATTTACGTGGAGATATTAGATGGTCTTTTTTCGGAAATCTTACTTTTTCTGATTTACCGGGAAGAAGTTAAATGCGTTATAATGATTACGAGACGTAATTTTCATAAAACTGTAACTAATGTTTAACGTAATTTTCAGTGTATGTTATTTTTAGATTCCGTTATTATGTATAGAAAGTTCGCAGAGTTATCGGGCGCCCGTCAGTTTTCCAATGTCAAGAAACGGACATGAGGCAATTAGTTTTGTGACCCCTAATTCATTATGTGTTTTGGGTGGAAAGTAGTTCCATTATTGTAGG